TGAAAACAGCCACAGGCAGCAGTTACAGCAGCTGGTAGCGACCAGGGCAGGAAATAGGCAGCAATCTAGAGGCAGCGGTGTGTAGTTCAGTGCAATCCAGAAGTAGCGGGCAGTACAGTCCATAAGCAGCAGATGAGGCTGGCAATAAAATGCACAGAAAGCAACGGCAAACCCAAATAGCAGGGACCAACCCGAGGCGGCGTGGCGATTCCCTTGTCACGAGACCACAATCCGGACCGACCCGACGAGCGCGAGAGAGTGGAGGCGGCATGAGGGAAGGTGATCAACTGGTACGGCTGCCGCGTCCTCGGAGTTCTCTCTACGTCACGGTCGATCGGCTACCACTACCTGAAGCCGTAAGTGATATCGGAGCCGGAGGTGACGATCAACGAGAGGACCGAGTGCTGCGACTTCCTCGTGATTGAGAGCGACGGGCTATGGGATGTGGTTTCGAACGAGGGCACATGTCAGGTGGTGGGAAGGTGCCTCGATGCGCACAAGAAGATGAGGTCGTCGGAAGGGATGAGGAGAACGAATGCGGCGACGAATGCAGCGGCTTTGCTGTCGCAGTTGGCTTTGGCGAGAGGAGGTGGAGTAAAGACAAAATAACTGTGATCGTCGTTGAGCTCAACAAGTCATCCGCCTGATGAATTTTTCGTTCGAGTTGATTTGTCATTTGCGTTTTTTTATATTTTATCGTATGCAGTCTGGGTTTCTTTTGTATGATATATGAATAGTGTCTTGTGGCATGCAGTGCACTATATATTATTAAGAATCTGGATTCTTGGAGAGGATTTCAGATATCCGTGAATTATATCCGTTCATCGTACAGTTAAAAATTATTTTAAATATTTTGATTTAAAATTAAATACAAGCAATACCTGACAAAAATTAATTGCACAATGTACGATAAATAGATACGATTTACGGATCTCCATGATCCTTAGCAAAAGAATCCGGAGAGGATCCTGTTGGTATTATTAATTCGTTGGCGCATGTATTTTCTGATGGCGTTAGGGGTGTGCAAAAGGTGCAGTAACACAGGATCCCAAATTTCTGAGGGCCCCAAAATCTTTTATCCTTCTATACCTTACATGAGTGTAAATTTTTAACCAAAAAAAAAAGGTTTTTAATTTAAAAGAAAAATGATCATCATATGGTTATCTATATTACAATTGATTAAGTGGAGCTTATACATTTTTTTTTAACAAAACGTGGAGCTTATACTTAATATATTAATTTTCTACTTTTCTCTAGCAATAAAAAACTTGTATATTACTTTCTTCCACTTTTCTTAAGCAATAAAAAACTAAATTGTGTGTTAATTTCTTCCATAAACACAAGCATAATTCCATATTTCTCTTTTGTGCTCCATTTTTCATATATGGTAGTGGTGCAATTTGGGTTCAGCCAACTCGAACTCACCCATGTCCAACCCAAATTCAAACCCGAACAAGTAGGTATTTTTCTTAGTTATAACCCGCCCCAAACCCAACCTAACTTCAACCCGGTCATTTATTGGGTTGAGTTCGGTTGATCCTTTGCTCGCCCATGCCCTACCCAATTTATCAGCACAATCTAACCCAATTATAACCAAAATGAACTAATGCACATATTACACCCAAGTTCAACAACCAACAACCAACAACCTTTATTATATTTGGTACAATTTCATGATACAGTCTGTGTTATCGTACCTTTGTCATGATAGTGCATTTTCAGGCTATTAATTGAATGTTGTTCGTGATAGTTTCTCATAAATCCTACTGATTTTTTACCGAATGTGATTCATGAGAGTTTCTTAGGCCATCTCTAACCGAAGGGTCCAAAGGGCCAGATGGCCGAAAATAGCCCTAAAACCGTCTACAACCGAGGGTTAGGCCAGAGGGCTCTGGAATCTGGGAGGGCCCCACGGGATCAGAGAGGGCTGGAGGGCTGGAGGGCTGGCTATTTTTTTTTTTAATGTTTTCCTATTGTTGTCGGTTATAACCGACAGCATTAAAGAGATTTCTTTTTTTTTTTAATAGTTTTACTATTAGTGTCGGTTATAACCGACACTAATAGTTTGAATGTTTTAATATAACGGCTAGTAGCCGTTGTATTATTAGGCCCTTTTTTTTTATGAATTTAAACTTCTTTTTTTCCTTTTCATATGAATCAAATTTTGTTTCATATTTTTTTTCAATTCTATTTTACAAAATTTGTTTCAATTTTTTTTTAAATTCTATTTTTTTTCCTATAACTTCAATTTTACAAAATTTGATTCATATTTTTTTTCATATAACTTCTATTTTACAAAATTTGTTTCATATTTTTTTTAATTCCATTTTTTTTCCTATAACTTCTATTTCACAAAATTTGTTTCATATTTTTTTTCAATTCTATTTTTTTCCTATAACTTCCTAGGCCATTTATACAACATTAAATTAAGTAACATGAAACAACATTAAACAATATGAAACAACATTAAATAACATTAACCAACATACAAATTATACAACATAAAAAAACATTTAACAACATGAAACTTAAACAACATTTTTAAAAACATTTAACAACATAAAACTTAAAAGCCTACTCCATGCTTCTTTTGGCCCAAAGATGTGCAACAAGATCCTGTTGTAGGTACCTATTTGTGGCACGAGAATGTATCATTCTATAGCGCCTCATATACTCATTTATAGAGATACTACCAGTTCTTGGATTGAAAGGCAAATTAGGCACATCATATATTTTTGCTAGAGCCCTTCTTGACCTATTTGGATCTTCTTGGTCATCATCGGACTCTCCATCAATATACCCATCTCGCTCATCCTCCACTATCATATTGTGTAATATGATGCAAGACATCATGATGGAGTTCAAATTTTCTCGACTCCACCCTCTTGCCGGTTCGCTGATAATCTTCCACCGTGCTTGTAGAATACCGAAAGCTCTCTCAACATCTTTCCGGTATGCCTCTTGGTGTAAGGTAAACAACTTTTCTGCATCATTCCTAGGGTTTGGAATTGCTTGGACAAGTGTCGCCCACTTTGGGTAGATGCCATCTGCCAAGTAATACCCCATATTGTATTCACGGCCGTTGATGTAGTAGTCAAGTTGAGGTGCTTTACCTTCCGTCAAGTTATTGAAGAGGGGTGAACGCCCAAGAACTGTAATGTCATTTTGGGATCCAGGGACTCCAAAGAAAGCATGCTAGATCCATGTATCATATGAGGCAACTGCCTCTAACACAACAGTTGGCTTTCTCGACCTTCCGCTAAAGCCTCCTTGCCATCCAGTGGGACAGTTCTTCCAATCCCAATGCATGCAGTCTAATGACCCTATCATGCCCGGAAACCCACGGTCTTCAGCTTTGTGAAGGAGCCGATTCAGATCTTCTTCATTTGGCTCTCGGAGGTACTCGTCTTTGTAAACCTGAACAATTGTGTTACAAAATTCTTCAAAAGTATTAAGGCATGTAGACTCAGACATACCATGGGTATCATCCATCGAATCAGCTGAGGAGCCATATGCCATCATTCGGAGTGCAACAGTAACCTTCTGATGAGGTGAGAAACCAAGGCGGCCTACTCTGTCCCGCTTCTGTCGAAAGTATGGATTGACCTGCTGGACATCACGAAGTAAACGCACGAAGACATGACGCCTCATCCGGAAGTGACGTCTGAAATCCTCTTCTGTGTACACCGAGTTGGGGTTGAAGTAGTGGTTCACCAGATTGGCATGCGCCATCGCTCTGTTTCGTGGTTTGTAAGAGCGACCAGCAACAGAGCCACCCCATTGAGGTTGTTCCTCAGTTGGCTGACACACCATGGCCGCAGCCATGGCTGCTGCCATGTTTTGTTTGTTGCGCCTTACTTGAACTTCTTCATCAGACTCCTCATCTTCTCGTCTCATTTGCGCCCATTTTGCTTCCAATTTGGAATTGGATGAGGACCCCCAATTGAAATTGGATGAAGATCCAAAGTTGGAATTCATTGCAAACTTGAATTGAAAGAGATTGAATTGCAAGAGATTGAATTGAAATAGATTGAATTTAAAGTTGTGTGAATTATAGCCCAATATCCACCCTATTTATAGCAAAAAAAAATTCAAATTCAACGGCTAGCTGACGTCAGCATGATGTCAGCTACCAACGGCTAGCTGACATCATGTTGACGTCACACTAGCCGTTAGATTTGAATTTAAATTGTAGTTTTTAAATAATAAATTATGTTTGGCCCTATGGCCCTCGGTTGGAGACGATTTTTTGTGACAGGGCTAAAACGAGCCCTTTGGCCCTCTGGCCCTCGGTTGGAGACGGAGGCAAATATGGCCATGTACTGTTCATTAAAATATTAATATCTTGGGGAATCTTGGAGGGCCAGAGGGCTCAAACGAGCCCTCTGGCCAGCCCTCGGTTAGAGATGGCCTTATAAACCCTACTTATTTTTTGGATTCCGCTATATTTTTTTTATTGTGATTGCGTAATTGTAAAGCAAAAGGACTTTTAACATGAAATCTACGAAGACGGTGCCACAAGGGCGGATAATCGTTGTGGTATTGCAATTTGCAAGGGGTCCTCCGTCACTAGTACATGAACAATTGATAAGAGTACTACTAATCATAATCACTTGTAACCCTAATGTGTTTGATGCTTTGTCTTATAAGATTTAGTAAACAACTGTATCAACAGCATCCCTTTCGTTGTAAGGCGTTCGATGTTTTGTCTGATAAGATTCAGCCATCACATGTATCAACGATACCCCTTTCGTCGTAACAGCGAAGAGAGTCTTCATGTCATTGCGCTGCCCATTTCTATCCTACCTTGTTTTTGGAGTAACAATGTCAATGTCAAGCATCGGATTCGAGTATGGCACCGACGTTGGGGAACCTCTTCGATGTCTGTTTCGATCCTGGTTTACTCGTTTTCGAAATTTGCATCTTGGTCAAGAGTCACCATGCCACTTACAACTTGAGTAATATCAAAGCTGTGAAAATAGGGTTGCTGAGTTCGCAGATAGACACAATGCAATCTGCACAAACTATATTCCATTCGAAGATAACAATGTTGCAAAGCTTACAACATTCACAACACAAAAAAAGTAAAAAGGAAAAGGACATCCAAAGCTGCTTTGAAGCACAAAGAAAAAAGACTTCTTGAAACCAGTTGAGAGAAGTCATTTTTTTCACCCCCCTCAAACTCTCACACTTACTTTTTAACTGTTCCTCTCTCCCAAAACCAATATATAATAACCCTACTGAAAGTTGAGGTGAAAGAGGACGAGCACTCATTTTAAACCCGTCTCGTCACTCCTTTCTTCCCCAATTTCCGTACTTATTTTTTGACCTACGTTCTTCTAAAACGCCTATGCAGATCTCAATCATAAGTACTATTTGCAAAGAAAAAAAAAAGGACTTGTCTTCTGGTCTGCATCCGGATAGCTGCACAATTCTTACATTCCGATACCAGAAACTGTGTGAGCCTCTCCCCTTTGTTTTGACGAGCTTTTTTCCTTTCTTATGCCAATGAGTAGCTTGAGACTAAGACATTTGCTGGAGAAGCAGAATGGATGTAGACAAACTCCATGCTCTTTCCCGCCGGTAAAGAGTTGATCCACGATGGGAAAACATAGGAATTTCCGGCCTTTGCGAGGCCCCAAATAGGACCGTAAAGTTTGGAGACAGAAAGCTTGAGGTTCGTAAGCGTCTTGGCAGACTTGTTGGTCACAATTGCGGAATATCTGTAGTAAGTCACTCCCTTGGAAGTCCAAGAAGTAGTTTTCCTCTGCGATATTGCAATTGGGCTCGACGATGGAGCTGCAGTAAAAGCCACTCATTTTAGATCACTTTCCGACAAGTCATGTTAACATAAAAAGAAGGCTATGAACATAAACAAAGTTTCGTACGAGGAGCTATGTAATACCTGGAGTAGCTGGAGTAACTTTAGGCTCTGGAGCTGCTTTTGGTTTAGGCAGTGCAGCTGATTTCGGTTGAGTGGGAACCACTGTAAGAATGTTCAATACATCAATTACCATTAGACAAAAATAAAAAATAAAATAAAATAAAAATATTGATAAGGCTTAGAAAAATTGAACACAGTCAGTATATATACCTGGTAGGAGCTGGTTATACCCGCCATGGCCGGCATGTAGGCGTGCCAATATACCGAGAAGAGGAGCATTGTTGTAAGTAGCAGGCTCTGTCTGCTCATAGTTGTCTCTCTGATCAGCAAAGTTGTCGTAGGCATCAGGTCCACCAACAATAGCGCCAGTAAGCAGATTGGGGTCACTAGCTTTCCGGCTAAACCAAGTGGCATAGCCTCCCCTGCAGCTCACAAATGATGAGTCCTTCTTGTAGGAAACAATTGAGGAAGCCCTGTGGTGAACTTGTTGAGGGTAGTTGTTTCCGTATCCCACCATGTAACTGGTGGCTCTTGGGTTGTCTCCTAGAATGTAATCCACCTGAGCATTTTAACAAGAACATAGGATCAAACTACATGCTTTGACAAAGTACTTATGTTTTGGATGATTCGATAAGGGTGTGTTTTTGGATGAATTACCTGAGATTTGGCGAAAGATAGAAGCTCATTGGGTGCCACATTGCCAGAAGCACATTTTAATGTTCTCCTGGAAGATGTGAGATAGTCGGAGTAGACGGTGATCAAGAAGGAGGAACTGGTGACAAACTGCATGTTATTCCACCTCTGGCGGTAAATTAGGCCACCGGGAGTCTTCTGTGCATTCCGGCTGCCCTTACCAACGCATGAACACATGAAGTACTCAGCCTTCTGTTGGTACTTCTCAAAGACTGCTGTATGACGACCAGCTTTGCCTTGCATTAAAAACTGTCAGTCAAGAAAACACAAACCAATTAGTTGTCTCCCCAATATAAATCTAATCAATGCAATTTACAATTCACTTATAAAAAAACATATTAGATTGTCAACGACCGTTTGGTCTAGTAACACAAAGTCTCTGCTTTATCAGAATTTTCTGAATTCAAATCTCATGGACCATGGTTGTGAGTAGTACCTTGGCAACAAGGGTTTGGACCCCGGAATACTTGACATCCCAACTGAACTCGGTCATTCCCCAACCGGTTCCTCCCAGGGAATCACCATTGTTTCCGAGGTAGTCCAAGTAGTACTGGTTGTTACTTGCCTGGAACAACCAAGCAGCAGCCCATAGCAACTCATCCTGCACATAACAATAATAATGTTCAACACCCAACCAAAATTAGATATGAAATGGAAATAGCATAATGGGCTGTTTTTGGGCCTGAAATGAGAAAAGCCCAAGAGGGGCCCAATAACGTACATTGTAGCCACTGATGGACCGGTAGTACTTTTGGGCCACGTTGATGCTGCTGTCATATTTCCCCCTGTACTTGTCCGCAAAATCAAACAGCTGAAAAAAAAAAAAAAAAAAGTCAGTGTAAGATCAGTGGTTTTTTAAGTAAATTAAATAAAACAGTGAGGGTATTAAGGGAATACAATTATGCATGTGCAGGGACGGAAGGTGCTGGGGATTGTGTGGGTGTGGTATGTGTACGATACCACCGACAAAAGTCGCACGTGAAAGTGGAAATAGCATTCACACTTTTCACGGTTCGGCTACAAGTGGACGGGTTAGATCTGATTGTATCGTAGATTCTGTACGATCAAGCAGCACAGTCCCCGTGATCGACGGGCAGATATGCCCCCCATCACGATCCAAATTATGCGCCGAAAACTTTTTAACTTTGACCACCCCGTTTAAGCAGACGGGCATTTTTTATATGGAAAAGATGTTTTATTCAAACACCAACGGATAGTACATAGGCAGCAAAAAAGATATTCACAATCCAAACGAGACTATTAGGAACTAACGATGAAAGTCTACGTGGGACTTTAGGTTTTGTTTTTACGTTTTGTTATCCACTCGATATGTCAAATTAAACTATTAATTACTTGTCATAATTATAAAAAGTATTTATTAATCAATTAAAAATGAATCCTAAGTTGTTCTCAAATTTAAGAGCAACCACCTTTGTGCCATTTAGAACTACAATATAGTAGTATTCATCTTCACTTATAAGTAAGTCTTATATTCGATTCTCGTCAAACATGAATTTGAACCACATTATTGTCAGCTTATTATGAGGCTAAGTCTACCTCATTCTCTTACTGTACATAATATTATTTGTTCACAAAAAATTAAAAAAAAAAATTACAACCCTTGTTGCCAATACATATCACATAATAATTGAGATTTCGGTTAAATATTAAAATGATCTCTTTTTACTATTATTACTGATATGAAATTTTAAGTAAAACAACACAAGATACAAAGCTACATGGTTAACCATGTGTAAAATTAATTGCCAACGCAACCAAAAGTAACTACCAGACGTTGGCATTAAAACGGCAACGTCCGCCTAGGGTTTATACATTCGATGCTAAAAGTAACGTACGCTGCGCTGTAGCAAGTAGCAATGCCCAGACTGACAAAAAGTAAGTCGGAACCGTAACTGCCTAATAACTACGACAGTTGCCTATCATGCGCCGGTCCCGCGCCAAAAGCATGAGACCCGAAGCATGTACCACGTACTTGTCAGCGGCTCAATGCCGCGCATGGCTAACGTACGCCGGTTGAACCGACAATACTATTACTGGTCCCCACCGCAGGATTACACTATCTTTTTAGACCAACGGACCAAATTCATGTTAACGCACTCTAATCAATTTGATTAAACTTAAGTCTAATGACGATTAGTTTAGTTGAAAATGTAGAAATATAAATGTGAGACCGACCTGATAGGCGTGGCGGAGGAGTTCACGGGAGTATGTGGGGTTGGAGCGGCGGAAGACAATGGAAGCAGCCGCCATAGCGGCGGCAGTTTCTCCGGCAAGATCGGACCCGGGATTGCTGGGGCTGATCTTGTATGCCCGGCGGTTAGTGGTCATATCCTCCGGTCTTTGCCAACAGTAATGGTCAGTGTTCCCATCTCCCACCTAATCACAAAATTAACACATTAAACACAGAGCAATAAATAAAAATCAAATTTTGGAAACCGGGTTGGTCAATAAATCATTAAAAAAAAACACAAAATTATGTTTTTTTTCGAAAAGTAAAGCTAATTAAAAATTATAGAATTTTAGTTGGGGAGAGTGGAAAAGTTGAGAACTTGGGGGGAAAGGTACCTCTCCGTAGAGGACATTGGGTTCAGGATGAGCTTTGATGAAGTAGTCAGTGCCCCATTTGACGGCCTCCATGGCATGGCCGAGCTCACCGCTTGCGGCCATTTGCTTGCCGTACTCGATTATACTCCAGGACATCATTGTGACTGTGAAGGCCATGGGAAGCCCAAACTTCACATTGTCACCTGCATCATAGTACCCTCCCACCAGATCAACCTGAAAATTCCAAACCAAAGGTTAATTTTTATGAAAGAATAATCAGCTGGGTAATTTTACTGCAACATTTTACCATAACCCAGTTGGGATTTTAACTGAAGAGTTGAGCTTTTATGCAAAATGATGAACCCAGTTGAGATTTTAACTGAAAGATTGAAATCTTTATGCAAAATGATGAACTGGGTAATTTAATTTGACCACATCATTTTACAACAAAACCCAGTTAAGATTTTTTCTGAAAGAGTGACTAAGAAGTTACCCCATTGGCCTTGCCATCATACAAGCCAGAATTGGATCTCCAAGTGACTCTCTGGTTGCGGGGAAGAAACCCAGATCTCTGAGCTTCAAAGAACAGAATGCTCTTGCTCAGAGCCTGCCCGTAGTCATGGCCGGCCAAAGCAAAAGGCAAACAGAGCAGCAGAAGCAGAGGAGCCATGGAAATTACCCTCACAAATTTCTCCATGCCAGCAGTAAAACGGTAAAAAGATGGAAGCTTTTTCTTTGCTTTGAAGCTGTAAAAACACAAGAAGAAGGCAATGTGAGGTGGTTTATCAGCTAAAATTTCTGATAAACCAGGAGAGACCAGGAGAGAGAAAAAGGAGAGGGATTTGGGAAAATGAAGTGGAGGGAGAGGGTGTAGGGATTGGGAATGTGAAGGAGCACAATGGGCATCTATATACAGGAGGAGGGAAAAGTACAAGTGCCCAGAAATTAGTATGGACCCAAAATTTTGTTTATTTTTTGTTAATTTAATTTAATTATTTTTGAATAATTTCAGATTATTTCTCTTTTCAAGGGGCTGAAAACGGTTGAGAAAAGAACAGAGGCATGTGGGTGTTCCCGCTCTTCGCTGGGAAGGTCGGTGTGCATTTATTGTACGTGTGGAATGGAAAAAGTTACTGCATATTAGCTTCTTCGCTCTGGTAAATGGACAAGGATCGTCTACCCTCATTTTTTCCATGCTCTTTTATGCCTTTCTGTTTTGTGTGGTTACAGTTAAGCTACATCAATATTTTATATTATTTTTTTTTATAAAGATAATAAGACAAAAATGAATAGTAATATAAAATGTTGACGTGGCTTAATCATGACCACACAAACAGGAAGGTATGGAAGGGCATACAATCCTTGTCCTCGGTAAATAAGCCATGTTCGTCTTGTTTTTGTATCAAATTTATTATTTTAATTATTCGTATTATGCCAAATTTTTTATCTTAAAAGATTCTTAACGAGTTGCATTTATTTATTTATAATTAAATCACGACTTCTGTGCAGGTCACTGAGATTGAGAATTATCAGATTCAAAACAAGAAAGGGGTTAGGAAGCTGCGGTGAAGAGTCAAAACGGTTTCAGCTTCCGTCCATTGGGCTGTCCCCACCATGAAATGTCCATTTTACCCATGGTATTTTTGGGTGAAAGTTGTTGGTCTTTCTGGGTACTATAGCCATTTCCACAACTTGATTTGGTAATTGCGTGGCGGAATGTTATTGGATCTGGCGAGGGATTTTGAAAATCGGTTGACCCTTTGCTGAACTTTAATCGATAGTTTTGTTCATTGGTTCGATGTGTATTTTTGCATGGGGAAAAATGAAATTTCACCGATTTACCCGATGAAATCTCCATTGTCTATAGTCTTGGTAACAATTTTTAGTACTTTCCTAACCGACGGATATTTGTGCTTTGTCTCACCACATTGATCATGTTTTTGTCTTTGCCACAACAAGAAAGAGCAAAGTTTTACAGCAAGTAGGAGATTTGGTAAGTATGGCCACTGTCCCAAAAATTTCCATTAATGCTGCCTTGATGCTAGACGACTGATTACCGTCCTGATAATTCTTAGACGTTTAAAAATTAAGAAGGACACTCAGACTTGCATAAACACTCACCTAGGTCTCAATTATCACTTAGACAAAAAAATAGATAACTTTCATTTTGCATTATATTCTAATACTTTATCTATATGTCATTATATTTTACAATTTATGTATCTCAATGCAATTATGTATTTTTTAGGTATAACCAGACACTTATTTATAGGATATATAATAAATTTACTTAAATCCGCCTAGTCCGCCTAGGCTTTCGCCTAATCACCTAGGCACTAGGCCCCTGCCCACTGCCCGACTAGCATCTAGCATCTTTTAGATCCTTGAGTACGCCTTATATTTCTCAAATGTCATATTTGTGTGTTTATGAGAATTTTTTTTCGCATATAGAAGTTGTATTCTCTCTAACATAAAGGTTAAAAATCAATCGACTTTTATTGAATTTTCGATAGTTAACTTTGTTTATCTCATGTGAATCGTGATACATATTGTTCATATATATGAAGAAAAAAAATGAAATTTCAATGAGGTACCTTAAAGTTAAAACTATTCATGGTTCTCTAGTCCTGTTTAACAATATTTAGAAACTTCCTTATCTTGAGTTGTACATTGAAATAAATGTGTAAATTCTCAACAATTTACAAGATCTTGTTTGGATTAGTTTCAATTCCAAGTGACAATAAAACCAATGAACCACATCAAGCAATGCAGTTTAGTTCGGTTCAAGCTAAAATGCGAATGTGATTAAAAAACCAAACGAACCCCAAAACTATTTACAGCTCAAACCAAATCGAACTATATTTATCCGAAACAATAGTACAAAAAGTTTCTTTAATTTTGTTAAAGTTGAGCAGGTGCATAAATCAGGGAAAACTATGCATTATTGAGAAGGAATGTACCAAATAGTTTAAAGAGGTTAAGAAATTGACCAATCTTGTCAATATATCTGACAGAAAATCAACATATATTGATCAATAATTTGATAGCATATGCATGCATGCCGAAATGTGAAAGTGATTGAGAGATTGCAAGTGGTTTGCTGTCAAGTCTCGATAATCCATGTGAGGAAGGAGCATATCATGCATGTACAGACAGACAAAGACCCAGACTAGTTGGAGAGATTGAACAAACATTTTAGGGTTTCATTAACTAGGGTTGCATTTTTGCATTTATTTTCTTGCAGTATGTCCATGAAGAAAATCTTTATTACAGAGGGGATATCCGTGTGCTTTCGGAATTTGAATTAATGTCTAGCAAATAATAATAATAATAATAATAATAATTTTAAATAAATTGATTTGAAATGAATTTTTCTATTAATGTCTAGCAAAAATAAGTGGTATGTAGAAATTCAGATTTTAATGCAAAATAAAATATTGTTTGAGATTGGTTTTATGAAACAAGAAAGCAGAAACCTAATAATTTGAAGTTACAAAATTGCCCTTATACACATTCTCAAACCCTTTAACCCAGGGTCACCTCTGAGATTTTGGGGCCCTGTGCGAAATTTATAAAAGCGCCCCTCCTTAAAATAGTCTTAAAAAATGTAGGACAATGTATTGACGCTAGAAAACAATCACTTAAATCAAAACAAAGTTTAGCATTCACTGATTGCAAGTTTAAAAATGTCATTAATAATAAGTAAAAAGAGCTACAAACATAACCTTCACTAAATAATCAAAAGCAGTTCAATCTTATACAACCAAACAAGAAAACAAACTTCAAAAACTCTAACTTTAAAGTTTCACTTGAATATGTAACATTATTATATGATAATATTGAAAAAATACCATCTTTTATGGTGTATTATTGGCACTCAAAATATCTTATTGTACTCTAAATTTTTATATTTAGAAAGGAAAAAATTACGCTTAAGATGAGATTTTAAAATGCTAACAAAATCAATTTTTGAATATAGAATATTATTTCATAACAAAAGTAATTTTAAATATATAATATTAGTACATATAAATATTAGGTGACAAAAATTTTGGGGCCCCTTCAAATTTGGAGCCCTGTGCGACTGCACCTTTCGCATCCCCTCAACGCCCCCTCTACTTTAACCAAGCAACTTTCTTAAAAAGGAGGGGATGCCAATTGGCTAAAAAAACTAAATCACTAACTATATAGTCTTAACTATAGAGGAAACCATCGATTACTACATAGTTTTAATAAGGTCTAGTGGTTTTTCTCTTCACTTATAAGTGAGCGGTTTTAGGTTTGATTATCGCCAAAGTCGAATTTGAACCACATTATTGCTAAACCATTGCGAGGCTTAGTCCACTCTCAAGTAATCATTTTCTCTAAAATAAGTAATGCACATACGAATGGTCAATATTTACTTATGCGTTCTTGCATGATTGATGCTAAAACAGTTCGTAGTAAAGTTATGAACACAAACTAGAAGTTCAAGTAGAGAAGGACTTGCATCCACATGAGCTCAACCCTTTCACTATGAATCATTAGTAAAATTAGAGAACCAATGACCTCTCCATCTCCATATAAGGTCTAGAGAAGGGTAGAAATGTAAAATGGCAAGGATATCAAGGGCAGGGAAGGTGGCGGCGTGGTTCGTGTAAACATGATACCCAAGAAGATTGACCTGTAACCAGGATTCGAATGCCCGACAACCCGACAAACAACACTCACCACCATTTAATGATTTATTTTCTCCCAAAAAAATACATTTTATTTATTTACATACCCAAGAAAATACAATAAATTCAGTTTTATTATGCCACCGACAGTACCCGGTAAAAAACTTAACTTGCGTTTACACGAGCGTCAAAACGACTTGGCTTTTCCTGTAAGTTGTCCTCCAAAGTCCAAACGATGCCCACTTGTAATTTTCCAAATATTTTCACACTTACAAAATTAAGAAAAATAATATTAATTAAAAAAAAATTAGAATCCTTTACAGTTTTTTTGTATCATTTAGATTAAACATCTATGCATTTTTTTATTTTGATTAAAGTGTTTTGACTAATAACCACCTCAAGCTAAATTACAAGTCATTATTATATTTTTTAAAATTAAAATAATTTTTGAATTTATCCTTTTATCTGCATGATGCACTTTCTTATGTAGTGGAGATATTAGTAATTAAACTATATTTCCTCTTCTTCCAGATATGTTTTTTCGATCACATTTTTTTTTGTTATGCAAGCATTTAATATTATTTATTTTTCCATATGGTTTTTTTTTTCTTTTTCAAATAGTTGGTGATCAACATAAAAGCTCTGTGTTATTTTTTCAACTTTTTTTGTGAAATTATATTTTTTAGTTGTTTTTTTAAGTATAGTTGTTGACAAATTATTATTAGGTACAATACATTACATATATATTATCTGCGAGTACGTTTGAATTTACAAAAATCATTAATTGGTACGTTTATTTGCAATTTTGGTACGTTTGATTTGATATATATTGTTAATATTGGTACATTATTTTTATTTTGGTACGTTTTATTTTGTACACATTGTTTATTGGTACATTTATATTATTCTCAATCATATTTTCTCTTAATGTACTAAAAGAAAAACTTATTTCGATACGTTTGATTTTGTGAAATTTAAAATATTTTCAACTATTTTGGAAATAAAATATCTTAAATCGTAGATAATTATTGTTAAATTGTAGCAATATTGTGAAAATAAATTGAATCTAACCAACTTTTTTTTTTACAATTATCTCTAACGGATGAGAGTGTAATTAAAAGGCTAGATTATAGAAAATTTGTTACAATATAATGTGTATATAGCACCAAAATTATGACAAAAAAAGTTTAATTAAATGACTAAAAAACATGAATGTTTAATTTAAAAATTC